GGTGAAATGGAAAAAAAAATACCTTCATCTAGGAATGAACGGTTAAACTTTTTTAAAAAAAATGTTTCCATATAATGTTATTGATAATGGTTTTGGTTTGAGCACATTGATGATTTAGGTCTGGTTTGCATTTTTTACACAATTTATACAACATGTTTTATATATAATGCAAGTCACTTTTATATGTAATAAGGGACTGGATCCAGCTGTAATTTCCATTGACAGAAGGGATTCCTTTCAGCAGAATGGGACTTCTTTGCCTCTCCCATCCTGCTTTAAAAATGCTGGCTCCTGGAGGGGGGAACAGGGTACGCTAAGGAACGGCATGAGGGGCAAATCAGAGGACTGTAGTGGGAGGTGGGGGTTGGCAAAAATTGTCCCTCCTTTCTATTAGCATAAATGGAACCAAAATGAAGGTGCAGAGATTACATTCACACAAAGGAAGAAAAACGGGATCAAAATGAACATTCTGGAATCAAATCAGCAAATTTGTGTAATTCAGCAGCATCCCTAACCCCAATGTCCATGAACAAAGTTTGAGTCTAGTTGCACCTTTAAGACCAACAAAGTTTTATTCAAGGTATAAGATTTCGTATGCACATACACTTCGAGGTTGAAGGAAACTGGGGATCCTGTGCAATGTTCCCTCTAAGCTGTGGAGTCTTGTGAGCACAAATTCTACTTTGTGAGCTACTGGCATTAAAGTTGTGAGCGAGCAATTTGGCTACTGCATAAGTTAGTTTGCTCTGGAGCCATCCTTCCTGAGCTCAGACAGAAATGTGTGAGCCAGAGGCTAAAAAACTGTGAGCTAGCTCACACTGACTCAGCTTAGAGGGAACACTGATCCTGTGTAGCATTCCAAGGACCCATCAAAAACAGTAGGGAATTCTTTGCAAACAGAGTCCACATTAGATTGGCAGATTTGTTGGACCCCCATAACGTGGATGCCCAGTGCATCAAACCAATCGAGTCCCAGGAGACTGGCATTATGCCCTTCTGCTACTATAAGTTTCAGTGTATCAAAGAAGTTCTTCTAGTGGACTGTGAATTTAGCTATCCCTGCAACGGGAATGCACTGTCTCTGGAAATCGACTAAGTGGAAGTCACAAGGCTCGAGCTGTCGTTTATTCCATCTGGGGAATAGCTGGTGTAGAGTTTGCATCGATAGTATAGTGAACGCTGACCTCGAGTTGACCTCCATTTCACAGGGGACATTGTTGAGGAGTACTGTCACCTTGATCTTGTTCTTTGTAGGTGCGTTCATGATACAGACAAATGGTAGAGGCATTTGGTTGTCGAGTGACAGCCGGCCAATGCAGGGGTGTAATTTGGCGATCGTCAATGTCTGCTAGGTGATGTTCTAGGCAAGTCTTGGTCTTAGAAGAGTGACAGACCCAGGTGAGGTGTCCAATCTTTCCGCAGTCATGAAACTAGGCCTCATGGAATCGACACGGTGCTCATGGTCACCTCCACAACTGGCGCATTGCGATCTGGGAATGGGTTGTTGACTGGAGCGCTTTTGTCTCTCGGTCTGTATTCAGTGGATGGGGTCTCCTTGCTGTCAGACTCTTCCAGACTCTCTTGATGCACCGGCTGCAACTCTCATGGGGCATTGGTGGAGTTCTGGACTGACGCATGTCTTTGGTTGGCTGCTCAACACCCTCCATGGCAACAGCTTCCTCGAACGCGGTTTGGAAGGTCTTTTTCGGCAAAAAGCCGCCATTGCAGCTTCTCATCCCAAAGGCTGCAGACTAGCCTGTCTCTGTCTGTCATTTAAGTCCATAAAATTGCACTGCCACACTGTCTTCTGAAGTGCCGTCACATACACAGCAATGGACTCGCCTTGGGCTTGGTTACATTTGTCTACAAGCAATTTCAGAAGGTTTAGGTGAGAAATGTTCACAAAGTTTAGTCTTTATTGTGGTGAAGTCAGTAACCTTGAGTTCACCTGGCGACACTAATGTCCGAGCCACGTCGAAGATTTGTTTTCCACAGACGCTTAGGAATTTCAGGAGCTCTTCATCAGCTATTTCAGAGATTTCAAGAGCAGTAGCATAGAATTCAAACTTGGAGACGTAGTTGTCCCAGTCCTCTGTTGTCGAATTGAACAGTTCGAAGTGGCCCTTGGCGGCTATTGTAATTCCGCACTGGAGCGGCAGGTGGCTGTGTTCTTCTAGCTGCTTCGGTGGGCCAAGGTGACAATTCCTTGCCTGCTGCAGTGATTAGCTCAGGTTCTGTGGGGCTGCCTACCCACAAGATCCCATCCTTGTCGCCAGTGTTATATACTGAGATCGAAGCAGCATTTGAACAAGTGATTTCTTTATTCAGCTTAGAACACACAACAACAACACTCATAGAACGATCCAACTTTATACATTTTGAATTAGCAAGGCCACACCCAATGGGATTTGTTCCTGCCAAAGGTCAGGGTCTTTCTGGATTGGTCTGTCACGCTAGAGCGACCAATCTGACTGCAGACTTTAGAATCCTAAGAGTCTATGGAGCTTGTGTCTGAAGCTCCAGCTAGTTTATTTAGGCAATACAATAAGCAAATACATAACAATTGTGTACTCTGTCCTTTCTTTCACTAGCTATTAGACATTTTGCAGAAAACACCCAATAATACGTTTAGTTAGACATGCTCAATGCTATCAACTGAAGTTAAACATTAACAGTACAATTGTATGCAATGTTATTCTGTTCTAAGCCTGTTGATGCATAGGATTGCAATGTAAGTCACACTGATTTGAATGGGAAACTTAAGCAGACCTTTACCATTAAAAACCATGGGGCATTTAATGTATTTTACTTTGTCTGCAACTCCCATAATCATTTTCTTTGGAGGCCTTGTGTTCCTTAACATTTAGTCTTTTAATGCCCTTCACTTCTAAATAGTTACTCCGTGCTACAAACAGCTGAAACAATAAACTAGATCCTAAAACAGCACTGGGAGAAGATAGAGCACTAAAGGGATAGATTTCATTAAGGTTATGCAATGTCAGTAGCAGTTATGGGACTCCCAGACTTAATGAAGTATGTTCCTCATCCTATTTATTCCCCCTTACATAGCAGCATAGTTCACTTGACCTCATGGTTATTTTAGGACATTTGCATACTGGGGCTATTTAGAAAGGGTGTTTCATTTCTAGCCAACTAGGAACATTTCATTTCCTATCCTTTGGACTGAATGAAACATAAATGCATGTAAAATGTAGCAGTGAACATTGAGTGGAGAAAGTGGGAACCAATGATTTTCACACTTAGAGTTTCAGGTTGCACCAAGTTTGCACCAAGACTTTCAGGTTCACACACATACACACATACATGTACCATATACACATGAAATCTGCTTTATACTATCCTGAATGCATACAACAGCCCCATATATTCACTGAATGTGCAGCAAGGGAGAACAAGATCAAGCAAGCTGCAGGGGTAATACATGGAGGAAGGAGCCGCACAAACGCTCCCTCCCTGTGATGTTCTAAAACCAACATTGCTAATTACAGGGAAGGAGACTTCGGGCAGCCACTTCCTCCACGGAGTTGCTCCTGCCGATGACCAGGTCATTGAAAGCAAACTTCAAAGTGTGGATTAGATTATTTCACAAACTCTGCCCAACAAGCAGGAGTAACGATTCCCTGCAAAAAGGAGTGACAAAACCGGGTAAGAAAGCTATGAATGTGCCCTGAGAGAGCTTAAGAGGTGTCTGCTGTCTGAGAAGACGTTATCTCGTGTGGGCACTTGAGTTCAGGGATGCTGGGAACATTGATACCCATGGTTACCAGGCAAACTTACCTTGATTGAACTCCTTAGTTACACACAAGTGGAGCCTCTGATGGCAATTGCCTTGATGTTGCTGGTTCAATACCTGGCTTGTATACCAATCCAAGCAGCCTTAGAGCTATACAGTAACCACTTGTGCTACAGGGTAACAGCTCAATCACGTTTCTCCTGCCTTTGCTTTCAGCTGTTGTTCTGTGCAAGACCTCTGGGTCATTGGGTTGTTAAATAAATAATGTTTGGCTTTCAGGTGCTAATGAGCATGCCAGGGACTTTGTGTTGCAACAAGCCCTGATATGCATTCCTTTCACTAATTTTCAAACTAAAAAAGAAAAAAAAAGTTTTTAATGGATGGTGAGAGGATGGAGGACGAACTGCACAGCCTCATGGGAGTTATAGTCTGAGGGTGTGCATAGTGTCCATTAATGGGTAATGAGTTATGCTACCATATTCTCAGTGCCATCTAAAAGCAGATGCCATTGTAAAGTACAAATAACACTAAAGAAGTAAGTTGCAACATAAAATGTAAAACAAGTTAGTTTGTTGATGATGGTACCACCATGTGGTGGTGGGGCACTGAGAGAGCAACCTGCCTCATTCAAGGTGTTTTGATGTGGACTAGCTGCCTCCCCAAAATGAGCGATAATTGAACATTCTTAATTGAGCACTCAATTGTATTTACTGGCTTTTTGGCACTGTCCAGTCTTTCTCTACTCCTTACTGAAATCTCTGTTGTTGGGAGGAAAGCTGATCCATAGAACCTTTGAGAAGGCAAGATCTATGTTCATACACCAGAACAATATAAGCTCTGCTATGACAGTATTTTCTTTTGGACCCCAGAATGAGAGGGTCCTGCTGCCCCCCAATTAGTAGACAACAGTGGAAACCATTTCTTCATGGTAAAATATGACATTTGGCAGACATTTTTCACATTTGTTTCAGGTTTTTAGAATGTAATAGGGGCACGTATATTGATATTATACATGTTTCCTTGGAGAATTCCACCTCATTCTAGAACAAATTAAGAAACATTCCTTCTTCATTAAAATATTGTATCTAGAAACTGTTCCTCAGTTAACAATTAGAAAATTGCATACATTAAAAACTTTAAAAGTTGCTTTAATTAAGGAGCATACTCAGTATTTATTTTTTTTAAAAAAAATAAACTACACTTCAGGCATGTAGTTGAAAAGTGTTTTTATGTTGGTTATTTGTAGATACCTCAAATCAGCTATGCATCTACAGCTCCAGAGTTAAGTGACAACACCAGGTATGACTTCTTTTCTCGTGTGGTGCCACCTGACTCCTATCAAGCCCAAGCCATGGTTGATATTGTGACAGCCCTGGAATGGAACTATGTGTCAACACTAGCATCAGAAGGGAACTATGGGGAAAGTGGTGTGGAAGCATTCACACAGATCTCGAGGGAAACTGGTAAGTGGGTACCATTTTTGTTTGTGGTTGGTGAACTCTAAGCATCACTTAGTTCTGGTTGTCTGATCGGTGTGGAATAATTAGTGCCTTTGAAGATCCGCTGTGCAATGTCCTTTCTTTGTGGGAAGCTGAATATGTTATGGATACCTTTGTTGTGTATCGGTGTATCTTCTTTCAGAACTGAAAACTATGATAAGCTTCCTGCACCTGTTTGGGAAAGAAAAGGGTGTGTGTGAATCTTTGTTTTTTAAAAAAATCAAGCTTGACAAATGATCTATAGTTACTACCAGTCCCTGCAACTTTTATAACCCCAGTGTAACAGAAAGATGGAAAAATGTTAATGAATTTTGAACTTGAGATTGCTGTTATCAGTATAGAGGTTTCTGAAGAATGTGTACATTTCTGATAATGTGCAGTTGCCACTGAGATTACACAGTTCAGTTGTGAACGTGAGCAATGATACTACACTGAATGTATAGACTGGTTAAGTTTGGGCATTAATAGAGAAGTCCAACCAAATGGTCACACAAAAATTGCATCAGGGTGGTGATCAGAATTCTAGGTGTTATAACAAGTGTTTCCCACAGTGGTTCACTGAGTGTTTGATCTTGCATTTTCCCCTTACTTGACTAATTTCTGGCACATTCTAGCCGCTAATTTTAGAATTCAGTGTACTACATAAACAACAAAAAAGTCATTAGTATCAGGGTTTTTTTTAGTGTTGCTTTGATCTTGATCTATCCTCTTCTCATTAGCATAGTTCCATTTTTTTGCCTAGAAAAATTTGTCATCTTGAACAAAAGATTTTTCAGTCTCCATGAAATGATGGAAAGAGAGTAGTGAGGGGGTGCTCATAAATGTTACAGCTCAGTTCTAACCCTCGGGTGAGGGAGATGGCTATGTAGCAACACTGTTCTAGTCATTATTCTGTGCTTGCTTGTCAGAGAGAAGAAAGGCCAAAAAAAGCAGCGGAGTGCATAGCAGCTCAATAGTGACACTGCTGACACCCACCGATTATGGTGTAGCATTCTGATGATGCCCCCATGTCAACTATATAGTGAAGGCACCAATGCATGGAGATGCTGGTGTGCTTCCCTGATGTCCCATCCAAAACACAGAACAAAGATGACACAAAGGCCACTCAGCATCTTCTGCTGTGTGGAGGACGATGACATGCTACGTAGGAGCCCTTGTAATGACTACTCTTCTGGGAGCTCTATAGCTGAGTGTCAGCAGGCACACAGGAAAGGAACCATTGCCATGCTAGAGGTATCACCCTTACACTTCCACAGTTCACTTGGCAGAGAACCCCCTCCCCTCTGAAAGCTCATGACACTACACATATGCCACATGGCGGAGGCACATTGGCATGGCATTTGCAGGGTGCTCTGCTGGTATTAATCCCTCCATGTGCTGTCATGGGGCTTAGTTACCATCCTAAATGGGTTGCTGATTGTTTTTAGGATTGTGCTGTTAACCTGCTAAGTGACACCTCGATGAAACTTCCACTAAAGAGAAAACAACAGAGTCTTGTGGCACCTTAAAAACCAATCAATGTATTTAAGGTGTAAGCTTTCCTGAGCTGGAGCTCACAGGCCAAAACAAATTAGTTATTCTTTAAGGCACTGCAAGACTCTGTCTTGGCTGCAGCAGCTAACACATTTATCCCTCCATGACTTGAGAATTGTTCAATATGTATGTAAACCCTCCACAGAATCTGAATTGAGAAAAAAAAATCTTCGATTTACTTGACCACATTTATCCCAGCCATCCTTTGTAGTGGTCAGGGCAGCATGAAAAGAGATTCAATTTTTTAAAATCACAACAGACCTGTGAAGAAGAGCCAGCAAGGGTGGTGGTGGGGAACGGGATTCCTCTCACCCTCTGAGTCTCCTGGGTCCCCACTTGTATCCCCCTACGTCCACTGAAGTCAATGATATAACACTTCTTGGGATGGCACTGCAAGTGAACTTTATGGCTGAGGGTGAATTTGACCTCTGGCCTTTTTGTTCAAAGTCCATTGTTCTATCCATTTTCCTAGTGAACTTCTACTGAAGTTCAGTAGAAACACCTTTTTTAAAGAAAAAAAATGACATTTGTAATTCCTTCTGTGGTAAATTCTTGCTAAGCTCTTTTCATCTATGAATGCCATTAAAAAAAATAAGTATTCCCTGATTTTTTGGTTTTAAATCACACATACCTTTTCTGTATCAAGACTACCCCCCAGGTTATGTAAACGATATTAATACACAAATGTATATACTGGAACATGTGTTGCACATCAGAGCTCCTAGGCACTGACTCCTTCCACTGAGCGCACACTTCAAGGCATTCTTCACCTGTCAACCCGGGTAGGCTATGTAGGGGTCATCTTAATGGGTGCAAATGATGGATCAATAACTTGAGCAAAGATGGCATTACTAAACAACACAGGAGTTGTGAGGCTACTGGATGTTAGGCTCACCACCTGAAAATGTTTCTCTGGTCTCTTAACAGTTGCATAATTTGTATATGTAGATTAATACAGATTTAGAAAACAGCTCTCTCATCAGTATTGCCAATCTCCACTAAAGAACATACTCTTTGGGGTACTTTTTAGCAAATCACGCCATTAAAAAGTTCTGTGGTTTTTAGAAAGATATTAGACTGAATCTAGTATCATCACTTGGTATTAAACAGAATAAGAAGAGAGTCAGGTGTTGGTGTGATAGCTTTTAAAAACCTATTCAGCTATCTTTTAGTTAGTGTAATTTGAACCTTTCAGAATTGTGCAAATGCATTGTCCTTTTGGCTTGTCATTTTGCTTAAGTATGCAAAGGAGACATGAATAGACTCTCTACAGAAATGCTGAATAATGAAAAGGTCAGCCCAGTACTACAATAACATGTCACAGGTTTGCACTAGATGTCAACAAAGATCACATGTAGTACACAATCCAGATGAATATTAATACTGTTTCAAACAAAGGTTGTAAAAAGAAATGGGAAACTACTAATTTTAACATGTTAGAAAGTGAAGTTCCGTCTCAAGATAAAATATTAGAAGCATATGCTGGAACAGTGTTCCTCAGACTCTAACAATCGAAAGAGACCAATTATGATTAAAAATTTCCATGGACTCCCAGGCCTTTGCTTTCGACCTCCTTCAGTGATGCCCATGCCAGACAACTGCTTTTCAGAGTTCACATGGAAAGTCACACATGCCCCATGGGGGCTTTCTCTTGCCTCCTCAGAACAACACAGTGGGTGCGTTCAGACGGGGCGTTTCAGCCGGCATAAACTGCACTGGTTCCAACCATTGCTGTTTATGCCGAATGAAACGCGATCACACTTACCTCCTGTCTGCGGAGCCCATCGCTGTATGCCCGTTCACACACACAGCGGGCGTCGGCGGTTTGGTTTTTTTAACTCAGTTTGAGCATGCGCATAGGCAGCCATCCACAGAATGGCGATTTTCGCGCATGCGCAAAACACCCTGTCCCGAAAAGCATGCCCTGAAGAGAGGACTTACCTTTAAAGTTTAAAAGGTAAACTGGCCTCCCTGAGGTCCCGGACTCCTCTAAAACGTTAAACTAAGGACCTTTTCTTTTAAAAAAAAAAACGCTGGGGCAAAGCTTCGCCCAAGCGCATATCGCCAACCTAAAAAAAAAAAAAGGCGGGCGAAAATCGGAAGCCTCGGGTTTCCGAATGGAAGTGGCCCTACAACGGTGGAGAGCGATCAGACGGGGGGGGGGGGAAGAAATTACACCTTTTCCACGAAGAATCCAACCGCTTGGGGACCTAGTGGCAGAATACAACGGTTTAAAGCTCTTTGCAACGGTTAGGAAGCCAGATGTTCACCGTGTGAATGCCGGTAAGTACACCGATTCCAAATGGCACCTATACTGTTGCAAATGCCCCATCTGAACGCACCCAGTGGGACTCCTATTAACTACCTGTGGAAAGCAAGTTTAAGTAAAATGCGTTGTCTGAATATGGCCTGCAGGGTTAGATAGCTGATCCATAGGACTTTTTTTTGAGCTTCAGTATAGCATTGCGGTGTAATCACCCTGTTTCCAGGTGTTTCCTCTCTTCAATATGCTGTTTGCCAGATCTGAGCCAACCTCGGCTGGGAGGGCAGGGTATAAATTTGATAAATAAATAAATATTTTAGTCCATTTTTTCTACAAAGAACACATTCCAAGTATGGTAGGGTGTCATCTATAAGTAATGGTGTGCTTTTTACTGCAAAGGTCCCACCCACATCTGCACCATTTTCCCAGCAGTTTTTCAAGCTAAACTACAGGTGCGCTCTTTTTGAGGGCTAAACAAACACACACAAACAAAAAACCAAGTAATTGATATAGCACTATAACAACAGTTTGTCACTTACCTATTTCAAACGTTAATAGAACTGCTATAGCAAGCACAAGTATGAAGAGAAGTACAAAAAAGGGGTCGTATGTTGCATTGGCAGCCCTGATGACCATGCCCATAAAAGCCAATGTAGAATAACTGCGGGCACAAGTGGGAGGAAAAAGAAAAAAGATGGTGGAAAGTGCACAGAAAATTCCTATATACAGAAGCTGTGTTGCTAATGTGTATGGCTTTGCATTCACAGCAGTGATAAAAGCACTGAGGAGAATCCTCATCATGTGGAAACAGCCCAGGTCTTTATATAGTTTGTTCCTACTTTGGGGGAGGGTATATATCTTTTAAGTTTTTTTTATGAGAGCAGTGTGGTGTAGTGAGATCTATGTTCATACCCTTTGGTTAGCTTAAAAACCCTGCTGGTGACCCTAAATCATGTGTCAGTGTCACCTATCTCACAGGGTTCTTGTGAGGATAAAGGAGGGACACAGACCACCCCAAGCTCCTTGATTGGATCTAAGCCCCCAGGGCAGGCCCAAGAATTTTGGCAGGAGAAGGAGGAGGAGAGATAGGATTTATACCCTGCCCTTCACTACCCGATGGAGTCTCAGAGTGGCTTACAATCCCTTTCCCTTCCCCTCCCCACAACAG